CCTGCAGCCCACCCCCCTCACAACCCAGAGTGACCCCCGCCTTGGTACCCCCGGCTCAGCCTTGGGAGGAGCCATTTAACGCAAGTTCTTCCTCCCGGTGACCTGACACCTCCCTCTCGGCCAGTTCTCTCACCTGCACCCTCGGCTCTCAGCTCCCGGAGCCCCAGCCCTCCGGGTGGGCCCCGGCCCTGCCCCGTCCCCGCAGCGCTCACTGGGTCTCACCTGCTTCCAGCAGACGCTGGTCGAAGCCCCTCAGCACCTGCGCTCCACGTGGGCCCAGGGGTGGCAGGTGCCGTGCAGGACCAGGGGCTAATGTCTCTCTTGGCCTGGACCCAGTGAGTGTGGTCAGAGACCACAGTGACCCTTTAAGTCCCCGCTTTGCACGGTGGGCGCTTGTGGTCGGTGGAAGCCCCAAACCGAAGGCCAAGTGAAGTCTTTTCCATCCTGGGTTTAGGCTGCGAATGTTATGAAGATAAAACAGGTCTGTCATCTCCCTAGTCGCCAGCCTTGTAGGAAATAGGAGTGTGAACCCGGCTTGAGCAGCTAAGAGCCGGGTCTGGGGCAGCCTTTCCCTGCCCTGAGCCTCTGGTCCTCGATGGGACAGGAACAACCATATCTGTGCACCTCAATGGCTTGTTGGCAGGACTGATGAGATGCTATTTGTAAAGTGTTTAGCATAATACTTGGCACTTAGCAAGTGCGTAATAAGTGGTGCCTATTACTCTTATATACGTTATCTTTAATTAGTTCATTGTTTTCATTAAAAGTAACCCATGCTCATTGTAAAAAATACAAACAGTGGACAGGTATAAAGTCAGATGAGATTCTGCCACTCACCTGGTATCTTTCCTGGTGAAATAAGAGAACAGGGGCCGGTGGGAATGGAACTGGGATGGGGCAGGGCCTCCTGACAGGGTGCAGACCATGACCCCCCTCCCCCATCTGCAGTGCCTCCCCTGCCCTCACTGAATCCTGGTCCAGCGCTAGAAGAGGGCCAGGGCCTGACACTGGCCGCCTCCTGCACAGCTGAGGGCAGCCCGGCTCCCAACGTGACCTGGGACACAGAGGTCAAGGGCACGATGTCCAGCCGCACCTTCGAGCACTCCCGCTCGGCGGCTGTCACTTCAGAGTTCCGCCTGGTGCCCAGCCGCAGCATGAATGGGCGGCCCCTCACCTGCGTGGTCTCCCACCCGGGCCTGCTCCAGGACCAGAGGATCACCCACATCCTGCAGGTGGCCTGTGAGTACTGGGTCTTGGGTGGGGCCCCGTGGGCCTCGAGAGTGAGATCCTGAAAGCCTGAGCCCCACCGTCAGGCCAGCCGGGTCCTGTGGCCACAACATGTGGCTGAGAGAGCACCAGTCCGAGAGGTGAGGCCTGGGGGGAGCCCACCCAGATGACCTTCGGCCTCTGACCTAAAAGGCTGGTTAGGAGAATCACACGTGAACTAGGAATTGAAAGCACTTGGCGGGGTGTCCAGGCCGGGATGGGAGCTGCTGCCAGCTGCCGCTCTCCCTTCGGCTGCCGTTTCTTCCTCCGCAGAAGGAGCGTTAGACCCACTCAGGGCTCCCGTGGGAACTAGGAGCCCAGAGCGCAGAGCAGCTCGGGCTCAGTGCAGGGAGGAGCGCAGAGCAGCGGGGGCTCAGTGCAGGGAGGTGCGCAGAGCAGCGGGGGCCTGGCAGGAGGTGTGGGGCCTCTGGGGGTGAGGACTGTTTCTGACTCAGACTAACCCAGCACATGGCCCAACGTGGGTCCACAGCAGATGTTTGTTAAGGAAATGAATGGAATAGTAGATGTTTAGCTTCCCAAGAATCAGGGAGCATGAACCAGTACAGCTCCGAGGGACCTCAGCGCGGAGGGTTCGGGAGGAGTGACCATGGGTGTGCTGAGGCACGTAGGGGCTCCTTGCACCCGTACCCCAGGACCCTCTGAGCCCAGAGAGGAGAGGGCGCTGTGTGGCGAGGCACCACGGGCCAGGTGCAAGGGTGGGGGCGGGGGCTGAGTTGGCACCAGTGAGTAGGAAGGAGAAGGCAGGGGAGGCTCTTTCAGGTCGGTGGAGCCTGGGGTGGGGGCCCTTGAAGGAACAGCAAGATCAGAGCCACCATTCCCATTTTTTCTCCTCCCACCTTCCATCCCAGACCTTGCAGAGGCCTCTGTGCGGGGCCTTGAAGACCAAAAGCTGTGGCAGATCGGCAGAGAAGGCGCCACGCTCAAGTGCCTGAGTGAGGGGCAGCCCCCGCCCACCTACAACTGGACACGGTGAGGGCCTGGCCTGGGGAGGGCCGCTCGGACCCAGACCCCTCTCTCTCAGGCCAGCATGTGCTCAGGAGGGGCTGGACAGCATAGTTTGAGCCCCAGGTAAATTGGGGCACAGGCTCATCCAACGCAAGAACAGCCGTGGTCACCAAGTGGCATCGGCTTGCATGGGGAGTCTCAGGTATGCGATCATTTTAGGAAACCAGCCAGTAAAGACCTTGGCTTTTTTCCTAACTTTTACATGACGAAGTACTTAAGTTTTAACATTTTATACATGCACATCAGTTCCTAAAGTGGGTAAGACAACAGGATACAGCTGATTGTAACTGCTGTTAAACCAACGCTCCTGTGACCCACGGTGGTGCCTGCCCTGGAAGCACCCCCGACTCCGCCAGTTCCCTCAGGAGCACTTGGCTTTCCCCAGGGTCTGAGGTCCAGGGACTCAGGGAGGGTCAGGCGCACGTTTGTGGGTGCCTCGGGCGCACGTGGCCTGTGCCTGAGGCCCTGCCCTGCCTGTGCACGGTGCCGTGGGGGTGGGGTGCCAGTCACTTTTTCCAAGTACGTCTGAGCCCAGACAGGAATGAAGTGTCCTGTTGTGTGGACTTCATGCCAGAGGTGCCTGGTGCCCAGTCTGGGTGCTGTGCTGCCGTGGGAGCGTGTGGGATGGCATGCGCGTGTGGAGGGCACCCAGGTCAGGCTGAGCGGCAGGGAGGAGGGCCTCTGCCTGGACCTGCCTGGGTGGGAGGGGCACCGTGGGAACGGCCTGCGGCACCGGGTGACGACATGGGGGCGGGAAGGGGAGCAAGGCCTGGGCACGTAGGTGGTGCAGCCGCAGGCGGCAGCCCCCATCAGCTCCCTGTCCTCCAGGCTGGACGGATCTCTGCCGAGCGGGGTGCGCGTGGAAGGGGACACCCTGGGCTTCCCCCCGCTGACTGCTGAGCACAGTGGCGTCTACGTCTGCCACGTCAGCAATGACCTCTCCCGGCGGGAGGCCCAGGTCACCGTGGAGGTGCTCGGTAAGCTCGGGGGCCACAGCCGCGAGCAGAGGGCCGGGCTGCGGGCGGGGTGCGGTTTGCTCCGTGCGGACGGTGGGAACTGGGCTCCCGCTCAGGCAGCCTGTCTCCAGCAGACCCTGCGGAGGCCACGGGGAAGCAGGTGGACCTGGTGTCGGCCTCCGTGGTGGTGGTGGGTGTGATCGCCGGGCTCCTGCTCTGCCTCCTGGTGGTGGTGGTGGTGCTGATGTCACGATACCATCGGCGCAAGGCCCGGCAGATGACCCAGAAGTAGTGAGTACTGGCCGCTCCTGGGGACGGAGGAGAGGGGCGGTGGG